AAAAAAAAAAAAACCTGTAGTTCTTATAAATACCTGTACTGGTAGATGATAACAGATTTGGGGTTAAGATTCTAATATCTAAAGTTACTTAAACAATTCAACTGAAAAGACAATAAGCCATTTAAGTTCAACTGCAGTAGAATTCAAAGAAAGGCAATGAATGAATGTCATTTTTTACCTATGAAAACGGCAAAGGTGTTTTTAAAAGAAAAGGTAAAATTTAGCAAAGTTCAGGGAAATTGCTAATGAGCAAGTAAAAGTGTGCAACTGTTCTGAAAGGTTACGTGAAATACACATTCATATTCATATTCATACAGCCTTCAACATATAGATTGCTCACTTCTCTGTTTTTGTAAAGGAAATAATTTAGGGGTCAAATGTTTTAAGTATGTAGAACATTTACTGCAACATTGTTTATAATAACAGAAAAAAATCTAGGGAATATGTAGACAAAGTACTTGGATTATCACAGGAAAATATATCTACAGCATCACATGGACATGCCCAATAGTGCAAAGCATACTAGAGTGAAGTAAACTCTTCTGAAGAAACCAATGATAAAGACATTGGTCTTTATCAATTGGTCTTTGGCCATCCTCAAAGACCACACATTGAAAAAATATCAAAGCAAAAACTAAGAACTTGGTAGTAAAAGCCTGAAGTAAAATTGGGAGCTCACTACAGACTATTCAATACGAAACAATTTCCCACTCACATGAAGTAAATCCACTTTTTTTTTTTTTGCAATTTTTTTTTTGGCCAGGGCCAGGTTTGAACCCACCACTAGACACTTTAGCAGTACTAGTACTGATTAAAAATTCTCCTTAGAGAGAATCAGTTCTTAGGGATAGAATGCTAATAATCCAGAACATACTGGACATCCTTTAGTTTGCTTCATCTCATCTTCTTACGGCGCCTGTGGCTTAGTGGGTAGGGCGCTGGCCCCATATACCGAGGGTGGCAGGTTCAAACACAGCCCCGGCCAAACTGCAACAAAAAATAGCTGGGCACTGTAGCGGGCGCCTGTAGTCCCATCTACTCGGGAGGCTGAAGCAGGAGAATTGCCTAAGCCCAGGAGTTGGAGGTTGCTGTGAGCTGTGACGCCACAGCACTCTACTGAGGGCAATAAAGTGAGACTCTGTCT